GAGCAGGAGGGAGGGCGGAATAGGAAGAGTGACAGAACAGAGATTGTAGAAAGAAGGGGCAGAGAAGGTAAAAAAGAAATGAAAGATGACAAAGAGAAGAGAAGAGAGGGGAGAAGAAGAGCGAGAGAGAGAGATGCGGGCACATGTCGACTTACGTATGTTGTTTGGTTGACGACGGTGATAACTGGCTTGTCGACAAATTGCCATGCCATCAGTATGGCGACATCCAGCATTACTAGCACCGCCACCAGCGCCATCAGCTGGTAGTCTTTTATCACCTGCAATGAAGTACTGATCAGATAAGGTATTTCGGTACGTGTGAAAGGGTTTCCGATGTAATTTATAATCGTGGTTACATGTAGCATGTGTGTGTGTGTGCACATGTGGTTGCATGTGTGGACACGTCAAAGTACTCAGTTGAATCCTGTCGTTTATCCTCGTGGATGGAACCACAGATAAAATCTAGTTAATTGTTTAATGAATTGGGCGAATGCACCGTTATTCATTCACCACTGCAAGGAGTAAATCATTCTCAATAGCAACAATTAATTATTCATGTCTGTACCGTATTTGTTAATTCGCTTCAATTGAAACGCGAGGCATATGCGATGACATTTGGAGCCAAATGCAAAGTGCGTGTCACGTGGTAATTGTCGACAAGTGAACTTTCCGCTTGAAACCGAAAGGGTGCTCAACTCACAGTGAGTGGGATAATGAACAATGATAGAAGGATGCGCGCTTGCAAACATATTAGTGATTTCTCGTGACAGCACACGAACAACGCGCTCATGTACACGCGTAGGACTCCACAGATTGCACGCACACGCGAAACGCGCGACAGCAACAAGACAGACGCCACGCACACGCCGGCGCACACGCACACGCACGCAGCACGCACAACACAGACATACACACACACACGCACACACACACACACACACACACACACAGCATACCACGCCGACACAGAAGCACAATACACACGACAGACCACCACTCTCTCTCAACACACACATCACACACACTCACACACCCCACACCACCGATAACACGCGCGCGGAGGCGGCAACACACAGCAAGTGGCAGGCACACGCTATTATCTGTTCCGCACGTCAATGTTTGGGGTAATGTAAAAAGTAAGACGATTTCAAGGCCGCGTCATCCGCATGCGCCATTATATTAGCTATGTTCTCACGCTCCCGCGGGAGTGCATCCTGCCGTGCTAATTGCCTTCCTAGCCGTGATGCTGCGATACTGTGATGCCATGCACTCACCCATGCGCTGCATCTTCTTGTTTGGAGTCTTGTGAACGCGCATGTCTTACTGAACATGGCGCCGAAGGCGAGCGAGAAGCCCAGCGACAGACACCACGTGTTCAACTAGAAGTAAAAAAAACACTCCATAAATGTGAGACCACGAGAGACGACACATTAGCGCGCTGACGTCACCATCCCCGAGTGACAGCACATTCGCCTCCTGACGTCACCGTTCAAATAACTGATGACAATAGGCACTGACGTCCGTCAATCACTGAGAAATTAGAGCTGACGTCACCGTTCTAACTTAATGACAATACAGCAGGCACTGACGTCACCGTCAACTGGTAGACACATGAGCGCTTGCGTCATTGGTCGGCAGTCTATGTAGAACATTAGTGCTGGCGTAACTTTACTGTCCAATGGGAATGAATACATTCGTTGTTTCTAGTCGTGCAAGTTCTTAAATGTCAGTTGCATGTTTCACGTGATGTTTCTCCTTGGTACGAGATACGACCAGAAATTCGCTTGCTGAACTGCTCTCACTGAGTGACCATCTAAAACCCCCCCCCCGACGGTGTCAAAGCATCGGCAAATGACAGCCACGACCAACGGCGTGACAGCACCATTATAAACACGCCAATCAGTCCAGCAAAAGAAATGACAATCAGGATGACAGTTAGCTTCTAAACGAGTAACAATCGTTCGCCTTGTTGACGTCGAACCATTGTCCCACGAAGAGTTCGTACTGACGCCACGGTCTATCGAAGATTGCGTGTGAATTATGTGAAATCACAAAGTAAGAACATGGGTGATGCTAAACATAACCGATCGCACAATCGCTGCTGTTATTCCCATTTGAGCTTGCGTAACTGGACAAAAAACACTGATGAATGGTGGTTATCAAAGCGACGTTGTCGAGTGAAATCAATAAGAAGAGAATGACTTTTGTTCAATGCGAATTCAGCGCAATTAGAAAGGCCTGTTGTCAAACACACAATGTAGGCAAGTTCGTGAGCGGGGGATGCAGATGATGCATAGTTTTCGAAACAGCAATTAACGCTCGGCGTCTCACGCCAAACAGAATAATCATTTATTTATTCTTTTGATAGAACGCGATTGACGGTATTGTAAAATTTACTCCGTATAAACTCACGCACAGCGCGTTACGCAAGACGCAATACATACATACGACAATACCGCGCGCACTCTCACAAGCGCAGTACCGTTTATATATAAAGTTCATCGATTCACGTTCATTAAAAACTTGACAAACGAAACAAAATAATGTTTTCAGGGAAAATCGTAGAGTAAATCTAGACGCGACGCGACTCATCACAGAGAACGAAATTCCTTTTAATAAACTTACTTCAGAAATAACTTAATAAAATAATGAACTGTAATGAAGTAATCAGTGGGTCTCCTATTTGTCTCACATTTTTTGTGTCATCGGATTCCGACACTGTTCTACTTATGGTTAGTTTATTTATATAGAGAACTTATGCAGTGTGTGTTGTACCTGGCAAGAACGTGTACGCTTTTTGGAGTGTCCAGCCGGAGTCGCGACGCTGAAGATGATCGATACGTAGGACAGTAGGCTCGCAAGTAGTATTAGGTTCGTTCAAGTTGGGACTCGACATCTTGAAATGTACCTGCCGAACACGGGTTATGGCGATAGCGTGGTCGTGTATAGTGCGGTGAGCCGTATACACGCCACGAAAACACCGCACACAACAGCAGGCGCAGCGCACAATCACACCCAGCACAACACACACAAATGCACGACCACACCCACAACCAACAACACACACCACACAACACACAACACACACACACACACCGCACAACATAGACGTACGTCGAAATGTTGCAGTGTGGCGTGCCGCGCGCATGTGTGTGTGTATGTGTGTGACGGTATGCGCGTATGTGTGTGCAGGTGCGAGTGCGTGAGCGTGTGAAAATGCATGTTCGTATTCGTGGTGTGTGTGCACATGCGTGCTGCGTCTATACGCGCATTCGCGCTCGTGTGTGGGTGGATGCGTGCATGCGTACGTATACGTGCAAGGTGCATGATAAGATTTTTTTACTGCGTACGTGCGGAATCGCCGCGGTCCATAAATACCTAGAATTTATATTAACCCAGCAAAAAACCTTCCTCGTGTCCACGGATCAACGAAAATTGAAAGATTGTATCGAACGAATAAAGAAGGTTAGACTGGAATGTGCTCTGATCCTTTACAATATATCCCGACGACACACTCTACCCTGAATCCATGCTCTATATTACACAGCCCCAACATGCACATAATATTACCCTGCTGATTACCGCGTCCTGATACACAGCTATCACCACGCACAATAGTACCTTGCAATACACATAACCTAGTAATCCTATCCTGGAATAACATGGCACGTATTACTACTATATATCGTATATAATATAATATTATAATATATATATTATATATTATATACACGAATTTAATCTATCTTACCGTATTATTATCTATTTCACGCGTGTGTTACTATGATAGTCTATTGCTGTCATCGTACGTTGCATGTACTGTGGTACAGTATTAACACGACCCTAGGCTAGCGCCCTCATGCGTTTGTCATAAACAGCGCGCGCATGCGCGCTTCAGTGCTTGTGCGGGCCCCCACCAAGTGCGAACTACTCGTGATTTCCCTACCGCGATGACATCACCGCGATTAGGCTCAATCTGCGAGCAGTTTACCCAGCCATCGACGACACGACAATTTCTCGCTAAGACCTTCGTCACGGGTGCTATCCATAATTGCCGCTGCCTTGCACTGCCGTGCCCCGCATCCCGTCACCAGGCGAGCTGCGTGCGATTAGAGGCGCACTGTACGGCCGTGTTGAGCTGCGATGCGCTGTTTGTTGTTGTTGCTGTGCTTGCCTGCTGCTGTCGATGCTGATGTTTTAGTTGTTGTTATTTGTTGTTGTATGTTGAGTGATATGTTATTGTTGGTTTCTTTATTTTTTATTATTATTGTTGTTGTTGTTGTTGTCTGGCAGCAGCACCGCGCGCTGTTGTTTAGTTGTTGTTGTTGATTGTTTTGTTCGTTGTTGGTTGCTGCTGCTGTGTAGTAGTAGTTGTTGACTTTGTTGTATGGCTATGGTGGTGGGGCTGATGCTGTTGCTGATGTTGTTGCGCGCGTGCGTATGGTGCCGTTGGTTGCCTTAGTATAGACTTGTATTGCGTGAAATAAGTGTGTGTTGCGCGAAGTGTGGCTCTGGCGCCGGTAGCGCGCATCAGACGGAGCATAGCCTTTGATTTCTGCGTACTACTTTAAATTTTGAGTCAGGACAGGGACGCCTTAGACGATGCGACTCCGCGAAGGCGCACATCACGATGGACAGGCTGAGTCGCACGACCAACGGGCAGGATCACCTCTCTCACCGGAAGGTCATGGAGGTCGCCACTAAACACAAACGCCCATAACATTATCAATTAGTGCCTGACAAAACTCTCTTAGATTGGAATTTCGTGCTACTGTATGGTAAAATAAACGAAATCAACAAGATACGCCACGCACAGTGCGACACATGAGGCAATATACACTGTGCACGTACATATAAAAATAAATACCCGCACACGTACCGGCCACGACGCCACACAACGTAACCGTGATGCACGCGACCACATAACATACACACACACACACACACACCTCACACACTGCACAGATATTCATAGAGGACACACACACACACACACACACACACACACACACACACACACACACACACACACATACACAGCATTGACAGTTAGTTATGATAGACATACGATTTGACCTGCGCGCCATCGCCCCCGTCAAAACGATATTGTAGCCCGCACGCCCTTCTCATGGTGAATATAGAGAGTAGGAATTAGGTTAGGTTTCTTACCGAGCGATTTTGCAATTAGTGTGTTACACCGCCGCGTAAGAAAAGCGGGCGCGGGTAAACGAGCACATGATACGCACGCGCCTTTGATGTATTCCCGCGGCTTTTCGTCTGCGGAATTAAATGCGGGGCCGCGCGTCGCGTACGTAGAGCTATGAGCGATACGCAGATCGTGCAAAGTTGATGACCGACCACGTCGCTCGCCGACAAGATCAAATGCAGCGACTGGCATGAGGAAACTTTTCTTGTAACCTGGGAGTCGATGCGCATGAACGCACGGTGAGAACAGATCAAGGAGATGGAAGCGAAGAGGAAGAAGAGGAGGAAGCAGTGAAGGAGGAAAAGAAGGATGAGGATAGAATGAAGGAGGAGTAGAAGAAGCGGAGGAAGGGGGCGAATAATAAGACGAGAATGGTGATGAGGAGGAGGACGAAGAGAGGGATGAGAGTGAGGATGATGATGATAATGATGATGATGATGAGCTGGAGCAGAGAGAGCAGGATGAGGATAAGGAGGTGGCAAAGGCGGGGAGGAATGAAAATAGAACTGGCGTAACAGCTTGTGTCGTCGATATTGTCGTGTGCAACATAGTGGTGGTTTGCGGTGTACGACACCACAGGCACTTGAAGCGTTTCAATAAAATATAATGCTAAATAAATACGAAATCTAATACTAGTACTACGAAATTCTTAATGTTTCTATACTCTCTTTCACCTATTATTGCCGACAGTTTCCTGTAAATTCCTTGTAAATGCTCTATGCACACACACTACCCGGCCGCTATATATTTAACTGTCACTGTGCACCGTCGGCAATGGCGGCCGATTAGTGTGTGTGCATAGAGCATTTACACGGAATTTACAGGAAACTGTCGGCAATAATAGGTGAAAGAGAGTAGAGAAACATTAAGAATTTTGTAGTACTAGTATTAGATTTCCTATTTATTTAGCATTATATTTTATTGAAACGCTTCAAGTGCCTGTGTACGACACGGTACGCGTTATATGGTCGCCGTGACTGGCTAGCACATTCTCATAGACGGTTAGCGCTATACACTTATCCAACCTTACCACTATCCCTAACCTTAACCATAACCTCTGTGTGTCCGCCGGTCAGCCATCATTTCGTCAGCCTATTTGTATACGTTCTATATTTTACTGATGGTCTCATTCTATCTCGCTTTCCCTCTCTTGTTGGTTGGCTCTCTCTCTCTTTCTCTCTCTCTCTCTCTCTCTCTCTCTCTCTCTCTCTCTCTCTCTGGTCTGTTCTGGTAATCGTTCTCTTTCTCGTTCTACTCCTCCAACTGGCTCTCTCCCTCATGGATAATGCTCACACAGCAACACGAGCTACCTATCTAAAGCCAGTAACCACGCCCAACCTTTGTCAACATTATGCCTAATTAAAACGCGGTCGTCGATATTGCGATGCGCAAGGATCAATAAACAACAATACATGTCAAGCACACATGCGCAAAGCGTCACTAAGTGCACACACACTATAACTGATGACACATAAGCGCACTGACGTCACCGTCAATCACTGATGACACATAAGAGCACTGACGTCACCGTCAATAACTGATGACACATAAGGGCACTGACGTCACCGTCCAAAACTGGTGACACATGAGCGCTCTGACGTCATTGTCGGCGTCTGTAGACACATTAGTGCTGGCGTAATTTACTGTCCATGAGGAATGATACATTCGTGTTCTAGCGTCAGTTCTTAAATGTCAGTGCATGTTTACGCTGATGTTTCTCTTGACGAGATACGACAGATTCACATTGCTGCAACTGGCTCACTGACGTCACCATCTACACGTGTCAAAGCATCGGCAATGACAGCACGACCAACGCGTGACAGCACATTATAAACGCCGATGTCACAGCCGAAGAATGACAATCAGGATGACATCGCATTCTACGAGTAACAATACGTTCGCTTGTTGACGTCGCAACCCACTTGTCACGAAGGAATTCGTACTGACGCCACGGTCTAATCGAGATTGCGGTGAATTAGTGAAATCACAAAGTAGAACATGGCGGTGATGATAAACATACACACGCTCGCACAATCGCGCTGTTATTCCCCTTGAGCTGCGATAACTGGACAAAAGACACTATGAATGGCTGGTTATTCAAAGCGACGTTGTCGTGAACATCAATAGAGAGAATGACTTTTAGTTCATGCGAAATTCTAGCGCATTAGAAGGCCTGTGTCACACACAATGTAGCAAGTTTCGTGGGGGGAGATGCAGATGATGTAGTTTTCGAAACAGCAATTAACCGCTCGCGTCTCACGCAAACAAATAATCATTTTTTATTCTTTTGATAGAACGGATTGCACGGTATTGTAAAATTTACCTCACGTATAAACTCACGCACAAACGCGCTTACGCAAACAGCAAATACACATACATACGCACACACACGCGCGCACTCTCACACGCGCACGTCACACGTATATATAAAGTCAATCGATTCCACGTCATTAAAACATTACAAAACGAAAACAAAAATAATGGGGAAAATCGTCAGAGTAAATCTAGACGCAACGCGCTCATCACAGAGAACGACAATCCATTTTAATAAACTTACTTCAGAAATAAACTTAATAAAACTAATGAACTTAATGAAGTAATTCAGTGGTCTCCTTTTGTCTCTTTTTGTGTCATCGGATCTCGACACTGTTCTACTTATTTAGTTTATTTATATAGAGACTATGCATGTGTGTTGTACCTGGCAAAGAACGCTGTACGCCTTTTGGCTGGCCAGCCCGGAGTCGAGACCGCTGAAGATGATCGATACGTAGGACAGTAGAGCTCCCAGTAGTATTAGGTTGTTCAAGTTGGGACTCGACATCTTGATGTACCTGCGAACACGGATACGCGATAGGTGGTCGTATAGCGGTGACCGTTACACGCACGAAAACACACGCACACACGCGCGCGCGCACACACACACACACACACACACACACACACACACACACACA